CTGAGAATGGAAAGCGATGAAGACAATAAGATTGGATAAAGTCAGATACAGCACGTAAAAAGAAATGAATTAAGAATTGCCGTATAGAGGTAAAGAAGAAAAAATCTTTGGATAACCTGAGAGCCGCCGTTGTCATGCTGAACAAAACATTGATGTTATAAGATAATTTTGGTCTATGTTATAGATCAAAGTATACATATTCTATATTACACACAAAAACATCTCTTATTCACGTATTCATGGTTAGGCCTTATATTTAAGGCTTCCTTAAATTTATCTTCAGATGCTTTACGAATTATTTCATGGCTACTGAGCATCTAAAAATAAATTTAAGGAAGCCTTAAGTACAAGGTCTGACTATCAATACCGACATTAATGTCCATTTTATTAAGTTCAGTAAAATGTGCACCCTACATTTTTTTTACTATATCTAAATTATTTTTATTAATAGATTTGTGAAATAAAACGCAGATTTTGTACAGAAATCAGATGTTAATATGAAGGCGTGCATTATTGTTTTGTAAAGAAGCTATATTATCTCTTTTCCTTATTCAGAAGCTAAGAGTCGATTATGTATTTTAAAATAAGGTGAAAATTACAAAAGTAAGCGAATTCACTAAAATATTTATAATTTGTTTAAATTCACCTAGTGAATTTACACTCTTGTAATTTTCATCTCTTTTCAAAATACATAATCGACTCTCTAATTTTTTTTATCAATATTTTATTATGTACATACTAGCTACTAGATGCCATTTTTTATGGTGATAATTTGAGTTATCGATTTATAACATCGATGTAAAAACATCATGACATGTTATAAGAACGTATCATGATATTCTTTTCCTCTGGAAGGATGATCTTTTTTCACTATACTTATTAATATGTGTATATATTTTGATAAATTACGAGAATAATATCTATATTCTCGCATCATAATTTTATGATGCATTATAATATTTAATTACAATCCATTTTGTAATGGATAGCAATTAAAATATTTTATTTATATTATTAAACATGAAAGATAATCTCCTGTTTTTCTGGCTACTGCTTATTATAATACGACAGATTAATATTGTGGCTATAGGTCTGTTCGCCTTGTTTACACATATTACACTCAGCATTTTCGCTTTCTCTCTTTTCAGCACTAAATATATATCTAAATATATATCTCATTTTAAGTGTAAAAAGTGTAAAAAAGTGTAAGAAAGGTGAACAGATCTATTATTACTATATGTAAGCGAGCTCTTTCAAGCGTACAGAATAGTGCAAGCTATACGTCAAAGGACTCCCCCCGCACAAAATTATAGGATTTTGGCCCTCGATGAAATTGACTGAAATTTTAGTATGTTATAGTTCTTGATTCACTGATTCACTGACAAAAGTGTCCATAGGCACAAAGCTTGAAAATATGACTAGTTTTTTGTTATAGCCATTTAAAGTTTTATTTTATTAATGCTTCAAAATGAAGATTTCTGTAATAAATCAAGAGGTTTTAGATAACAATATACTATTCACTCTCACCTTCACCCTCACTCCATCCCCATCATCCACCTCCACCCACATACGCCAGCGCGCGCAATTTTATATGAAAAAGTAGCATAAAAATCGAAGTAAATCTTTTATAATCATATAATTAGATTCTGCTAAACTTTTACTTCTCTCACACATATCGTTTGAAATGCGTGAGTTTCTTTACCTCTCACGTGCGAGGTGCTTATTATCACGACCCGAATGTTTGTTTCCGCGCGTGAAGCACCGTGTGCAAAAATATCGGGTGCTTGCTGAAGTGCGATAACAACACACAGGATAGAAAATTCTTTTTTCTCTTCTACTTGTTTTTTTTTTGTACATCCCAAACGTGAGGGGCAAAAGGAATCACGAAAATCAACTCCAAAGAAATGGAACGCCTATCACGTCCACGTCATTTATTCCGGATAATTCTGAGAACGGCCGAAAAGCTTAATACCATTGATACATGCATACATATGCGCGCACGCACACACACAAAAGCGTAATGAAAAAGATACTTCGATTTTTATGCATCTTTTTTATATAAACATACGCGCGCAGGCGTATGTGTGTGGGCGTGGGGGGAGTGAGGATGGTGAGAGTGGATGGCATATTATTATTTAATCTATCTCTTGATTTATTACAGAAACTTGATTTTGAGGTATTAATAAAATAAAACTTTAAACGATTATAACAAAAAAAAAATAGTCATTTTCAAGCTTTGTGCCTATGGACACTTTTGATCAGTGAGTCAAGAATTATAACATACTAAAATTTCAGCCAATTTCATTGAGGGCCAAAATCCTATGATTTTGTGCGGGTTCCTTTGTAATTCACGTATAAAATATTGAAGTGCCTGATATTCTTATCATATGTAACACTTATTCTCACAATATTTCAATTAAACAGAAATTAATCGAAAAATTATTCAAGCTATTGCTGTTTGTTGTCGCTACAAGTATACTTGGTGGGAATAAAAGCTATAATTATAGATGACGATTAAAAAGAAAAAATGTTGAACGTATCCAAAATTATTATGAGAATAAAAGCCAAAAGACACACAAATGATATAAGTATGCATAGTATAAAATTGATACAGAATGTAGCAGTTTCATCGCAAAACTCATCATAATATGAATAGTAATAGAAATAAGAACAAAAATATTTTTGAGCATTAAAATGTTCTTCATATTTGTCGTTTTAATTTAGAACATTTTAACACACACTGTTTAGTCTATAAAATTCTTTTAACGTAACATCTATGATTTCTCTGATATATAATTTATTAAACATAATTATCTTTCTCTCTCTCTCTTCAAATGAGATCAATTTCATCATGTAACATTGTGACAAATTTTCCACATTAATTCAAATTGACATTATAGTGTAAATAATATAGAAACAAAAAAATTAATTTTCTGTAATATACAGGGTGTTTCATTTTAAGTGATATGGTCGATTATCTCGCGAATCGATGATTTTATTGAAAAATTTTTTGAACGAAAATTGCATGGCTTGAAGAGAGATACATGATGGAAATGTGGACTTGACCTTGAGTGACCTTGTCAAAATTAGGTCAAGGTCATTAATGTTTTTTAAATGGAAGTAAAAGTAACTTTATTATAGTGTTTTGAAAAGTTCTCGAGATAAGCTACAAGAATATAATAAAAAATAGGGGTTTCCATTTAAAAAAACATTAATGACCTTGACCTAATTTTGACAAGGTCACTCAAGGTCAAGTTCACATTTCCATCATGTCCCTCTTCAAGCCAACTTCCGTTCGTAAAATTTTTCAATAAAATCATCGATTCGCGAGATAATCGACCATATCACTTAAAATGAAACACCCTGTATATGAAAATAATTTAAAGTTTACTTCTAAATACATATAAGTTGCATCTTCAGGCTATATACAGGGTGTTTCAGAAATAGTTGGCCAAACTTCAAGAGCATATTCCATTCATTGCAAGGATGAAAAAAAGTTATATAAACGTGGGCACGGAAACGCTTCCTTTCCAAGTTATAAACATTTCTTATTTACTTTATACGTATTTACGTCGGACGACATGCCTTGCTTCGACGCTTCATTAATTGTACTTCTACTCACCTTCTAAAGTAAACAAAAAGTTATTAGATAGATCTGTATAGAATTGGAATCAGTTTTTATTTAAGCATTTAAGAGTGAAGATAGTATTCATCAATATAGCAGTTTATTCTAACATTGAATTGGCAGATATCCATTATATGTATGGGCGAGCTAATGGAAACTGCAGAGAAGCTCACCGTCTCTATCAACAAATTTTTTCTCAAAGATGATCATTTCCAGCAATTTCTGTAATGAAAATGTAGATATAAGTAAATAAAAAATGTTTATAACTTGGAAAGGAAGCGTTTCCGAACCCATGTTTATATGACTTTTTTTCATCTTACAATGAATGGAATATGCTCTTAAAGTTTGGCTAACTATTTCTGAAACACCCTGTATAACACATAATGTGATAAGTGTTTTGCGACTGCATCTTTGTTTTTTTTACAAATGTTCTTAGTAAAAATTTTAATTTCTTAATATAATGTGTGATAGTATATGTATGAATATATATGTTCAACATATGCATAATACATAATGTATAATACATAACGTACATAATCTTCCGTACACAAATGGATGATTAAAATCCGGTTTTAGATACGAAAAATAAAATTCACTAACATTCTATCTCAATGCAGTTTAATTTTAATCTTGGTTCCATTAACTCTTCGTCTTTTTTTCTGGTTTGAAAAATTAAAAAAAGATAAAAACTAAATTAACACGTTAAGCGCCGAGCCCATTTCGTTTAAGTTTCCATTTACGTCGCACAATACTGTGAATTGGAGATACGCACGGTGCGCAAAGTGAACAAGAGAAACAGAGTTTTGTTCTCTAAAGCAAATCTATCAAATATTTTAAAGTGTTTGGAACTGATGTGACGTAAACGGAAAGTTCAGTGCCGATTTGTAATGGCGTTAAACCAAGATTTTAATTAATCTATATTGGTAGAAAATTGGCATAAGAGTATCAGATTATGATAAATGCATTATTGCAACACGAATATCATTTATAAGATCTTAATGCAATTCATATATATTCTAGAATAAAGGTTTGGAAACACTTTAAAAAAATTAACTTTTTTGGGATTACTTATTCAAATATCTACAACAATGTATTTTTTAACAATAATTTTCTTGATCCAATAAATGTTAATAAATTTGAAGAATTTAAAAAAAATTTTGTTATGGATATTTGAATAAGTAATAAAAAATACCTATTTTTTAAAAGTATTTCTAAACTTTTGATCTGGAGAAGCTTGTATCATGTAATTGAATTAGAATTTTTAAAAGTAAATTTTTTTTGTTCTATACCACTCTTGATTGAGACGATAATTAAAGAAAAAGGAAATAAAATTCAATTAAATGGTAAAAATCAATTAATATACTATTATCGGTTGTTATCACTGAACCTGCAGTTATTCTTTTCTCGTTTCGTATTTAAAATTGTACTCATTTGTTATTTAGCAGCTTGTCCAGGCCCAGTAGAAGCTTTCCCCTTCTGAGATGATTCTGCAGTGTCATTTGATTGATCAACATCCATCTAAAAATTTCATTAAATTGTTAGCTCAAATCAATGATTTAAACAGAAGATTAAAGTATAAAGAATTTAAAAGTTCAATAAAAATTTATTTTGATCAATTTAGAATTCATTTTTTTCTTAGCACCTTTCTTTTAAGGAGCATTTATATTGGTCGTAACCGTATATTGTATGCTGTAATCTGTAAAAATTGACTAATCATAATACTGTTAACAGTCAAGTATTCCTCTCTTACAGTTGAATGAGAGAGGAATACTCGATTGTGATTTGTCAATTCTTACAGATTACGATATATAGTTACGACCAGTACAAAAATGTTCCCTAAATCTTGATATTTTGTATATAATATGTAACGGAGAAAAATATAGTAATCAAAATAATATTCTTGGTACACTTTCAACATTATGTAACAAAACTTGTGTCGTATCGAAAAATATAATGTATATTTTGTACCTTTTCTTCTTTTTCATCGTCGATAAGAATGGGACCATTTTCAGCCTCAAATTCTTTCAGTACTGCATCTAAATTATATCTTCGTCGATAGTTTACGAAAAATGATCGTAAATGGGCTTCAGTTTTGGTACCAATAACTTCAGCAATTGCGGCAAAATCCTTTCCGTATTTTCTAATGCCTTGAACCGCTAATAGTAATTCATCGTTTGTCCAGCGTGCATTTATACGGCTTGATACTTCCGGTGGCCGTAGATGGTCGATACCATCGGTTGTCTTTCGCTTCAGTGCGCTTACTTGTTGTTTGTTAGCTTGTATCTGTACGATTTCGAAAATTATATAGCATTATAAGTTACACAATATATACACCAAATAAGAATTAAAGCCTATAACGGTAATTATATAAATAGCATAATGCATTATATTTTAATTAAAGAGATAAAATGCATTGGTCACGAAAGCATTGTTGCGTTTGCAATCCTAACATTCAAGACTTTTATTCTGCTTTATAATATTTATTTAAAATACTTCAGTGTAACACATACTTTAATTATTAACAGTTTCAAATGGAAGCGTTTGCATATGCTTTCATGATTTATTACGATATAAAAAATAAAGAAAAATGTATCCACACGTTATAAATTTATAGGCTTTTCGTTTGTACTTGTTAACATACTTGACGTTTTAAGCTAACGATCTCAGTATCGATAGCTTGCAAACTGTTGTTGGCTTGATTTGGTTGACCAGCCAACGCCGCCAAATCATCGTGATTCACAACTAAGCCCCGAGGTGGTTTTCTTTTATTCGTACGACCCGGCATGGAAGTTAACGGTCTTGCTACACCGGTACGCCTAAACCATCAAAAAACGTAGAATGATTTTAAGAATCTAAACATGAGGCTGGTCTATATTGTATGTCAATGTCATTAAGATCAAATAAGTATCATTAATAGGGATATATATAGTTTAAAACGATATACGGAATAAGCGAGTTTCCAAGGATATTCATCATTTTTAATTGCTTAAATAGGAAAAAATGCGTTTATCTGTAAAAAGAGGTATTTCAAATAAGCATTACATTAGAAAAAGAGTCGTCAATTCAGTTTCACTAACTTATTTTTCACATGAATATCCTTTCCGGCGCTTATTGAGTTATATACAATAAGATTTATCTGTTTGCGATCATTGGCATTGACATTTAATTTACGTTCACTGTACCTCCAATGTAGATAGCAGCTATGACACGCATGTCCCTTGGGCGTCGCACGAACACTATGGCATGCGATGCCACAGTTACTACACGAGCCCTACAACACATAACACCCTTTTAAAACAAAAATTTTGATAACCCCCCTACCCATTTCTATTTTTTAATTCATTATCATTTATCGTCTCCGAGTGCTGAGAATAAATTAAAAAAAATCATTAAAGTGATATGTCCCGTTCATCAACAAGTCAATTTTCGTATTTTCTTAGAATTCGCTCAACTGTTCATGATGGTATTAGTCGAACTAATTCCATACGCCAAATATTTCATAATTCGCATTTTTCTGCCTTGTTTCCTCAGTGAAATGTTAGTCTGTTAATTTTGATGTCACGAGGAATATTTTAATATTACGATTTTAATATTACAATTTTAACATCACGAGGAATTTTTAACGAGAGAATAGGACACATATATATGTATATAGGCCAGTGTAGCAACAATACACGTGATACATTGAAGAATAGCAAAACACAGTAGTAAAGCTAAGCTAACTATACTATATATGCGAGTGGGTAAGGTTTAGGTTGAGTACCTGAACCTGAGGGGCGTTTTCCGAGTCGGATGGGGCCTTAGCATCAGTGCCTTGGCTTCCTGGCACAGCTTGGTTCTTTCCACGACGTATTCCGCGGTGGATCGTCCATTTCTGGAACGTTCCACATTTACGTTCACATATCGACGTAACGTCCAACTAAATTATTATTTATTTTTACGTGCAAAATATTTATAAATTGAATAAAATTTCACTATCATGTAAAAGGGTGTTGTAAAATTTTTTGAAATTTTTCACTTATAAATTTTGTATCCTACATGTAGATATAGATATTTATAGCAATGCTCTACTAGCTTCTCTTGTCACCATTGGCATTATAATAAGATAGTTCGGTTTTCCTGCTTTCATCATATGGTAATATGGTATCGTGTGGATACATTTTTGGAACATGCATAGCAAGTTTCCAGTTATGATTCTTTATATTCATACCAATTTGTGCCATGATAGCATATCTATTTGCAAAATAATCGTGTGAAATAGCCAGGGCAGTAAGCTTATACACGAAAAAATATATTTATTACACAATTAAGGAAAGAAGGGAGGTATTAACATATTGAATACTATAAAGAACTATACAAAAAAAAAAAACAAATAGGATTATTCTCTACAATTATTATGTTTAACATTAATTCTTTTCTGTTTTACATTTCGTATTTTTATATTTATCTATATGTTAAAACGACAAAAAAGGAAAAATAAACAAAACATTTTTTTTATATTAGAATAGAGTGCATGCACAAAAATTTATATATTGTTGAAATTTCTTCAAAGAATCCTTACTTTTTCTTCAGATTCGCTATCTGTGTTGGAACCAAGCTCACTTCCATTTTCGCTGCCATTTTCGCCTTCTTTGCAGCCGCTCGTCAATTTACGTGCTTGCCTATCCATCAATGATGTTCTAGTTCGTGTCTTCTTCCAGCTGTAGTAGTATTTCACAAGGCTTGCGATAGATTTATCAGGTAGCTGTAGAAAAATTATTGAGGATAAATTATTTATATTAACTTTAATATTTGATGTAATCCTGATATGTAGAGCTAAACTAAACGTCTTTTTTCTTTCTCTTTCTTCTTTATTATATACAAACTTAATTTTTTTGAATTTTCAGTTATATTTTTTTATAAACATATATGAAACTTGGAAATATTTGATGTACATGTCTATTTCAAAGCATCTGCAATGTTATTTACACTAGTAACATATCTGCAATGTAATTTACACTAGTAACATATAAATATTTGCAAATTATAAATATAATTATTATATATAATTTTGTCAATAAAAAAGAATCTAGTTATAAATAATGGTCAATTATTGTTTTTAATTCTTTAATTTAATAACATTAAAGTGAGATTTTTTTCGACAAAAAGCTGACAAACAATTTCGTACTTTATTTTGTATTAAAATATTTTTTTATTAAATTACTTTTATAACTTTTCTTTACTGAATTAAATAAATATATATTTTCAAAATCTCTATTTTTTAAAAATATGTTACAAGATTATCAGGATCCTGCAATATTTCGAAAATAAATATAATTAGTTCAATATGTTGATGCATTTCAAACTTTAATTGTTGATAGAATGGATAATAAATAAAAATCAAATTAAAAAATTTAATAATTCCCAGATAGCAAAGCGTGTCTCAGCAAAATCGCACAAATCTGTGTGCTTATGATGCTGGCAACTTGCTGTAGATTTGTCTTCAACGATTTTGAATATACCGACATTGTAGAAACATGCAGACAACAATGTGTATATGTATTGCCAGCAGTTTGACAGTAAGACAGCTGCGTCAATGTTATCGTGAGTTGACAATATGATAGCATTGTATGATGCTACATATTATTATGGCAACATGATGGCAATAGTATGAATTTTGATGATGATTTTAAAGTTGTCGGCAAATTGCTGGCAAATTGCTACTCAATGTTATTGTGGAGGTATCAAATTGCCAACAAATGAGGATTCAGTTGCTGTAATTCTGGTAGCAACATATACTTAGCAATGCATACTTAGCAAGCAACATGCCAGCAACAAGACATATATGTTGCTTTCTGGTTTAATCTGAATATCACAAAATATATCAACTCACCATTTGTCGAATGCGATGGAAACTTTTGCCATGAAATTGAAACGCCTGCTCAAATAATACTTTATCTTCAACCGTCCACTCGTCAGGAAATGGTGTAAAATTTGCCAAATCCAGGACTGCGCGCTCCAAATTATGCTTATGCCAAAACAACATTCCTAATGCCTGTTCTCCATTATAACCATATTTTTCTTTAGCTAATATAATGTATTCGTCCACTGAAAAAGACAACATGCATTAGTCATCTTGATATTTGTTTGTACAAACTAATTGACTTCCTTAAGTTTATAGCTTACATTTTTGATCTGGTATATCCGTGGTGGGTGACCAAACTAATAACGCCCTATCGGGACACTGATCCAATCGACGTTCTGAAATACACGATAAGTAATAGCAAGTTTTGTATGACTCACTAATTAACAGAGGCGTTACGAGAGCATAAAAGGTACGTTCCATCATAGAGCACAAAATTTGGAGGGACATAAATTTTAATAGGCATCAATAACTTTTAGAGCGTTCAAAAACATACAAAAATTGATTGCTCCGTCTGTAATATTGTCAATGTCCCTATCCTCTAGAGCTCTAAAGCTCAGTTTCACAACTCACGGTTAACGAGGTTCAACTTATTTCTCGTCTCTTTCCAATTCTAGCATTAGAAAGAGATAAAGAATAAATTAAACCTCGGTTAAGAGTTAACCATGACTTGTGAAACTGGGCTTAAGGCTGCGTTCCGATTTCACTGCCAATACTGAAGATCTATAGCATAAATTACATGCACTATAGATTTTTAGCACTAGCAATGAATAAATTGGTGGAATTTCCTTTTTTTTTTTTTGATTGATTTATCGTGATTGATGTTTCATAGACCTGGCGATCCTAGGACTAGGACGCGAAAGCAAATTCCAGTGTAGGGTGCATAAGACAGTCGTAATGCCTCTACTACTTAACCCTTTGAAGCATGGTGGTAACCCATGTTACCACCTAAACTTCTTCAGTTTTTGGCCGTTTATTTTCTAATTGACGCATTTAGGTTTGGTTTTTTGTATTTTCCTGATGTCTTAGAAGTAAAGAACTATTAAAAAAATAGTTTAGTAGTCTTTATTATTTATTGTAAATTTTATAAATAAACAAAGATCAAGAAAGGCCTTTTTTGGAAAAATGTATGTTTCAAAGGATTAAATTAGTATTTTTAGTATCATAAAGATCATGAAGTACCATTGACAGGAACAAATTCTGGAACGACGACTTGATAATCTCGTCCAACTCTTATCTTTTCTGCTGGAACTTTAAGAAAAAAACTTTAGTATTCCAACTAATTGTATAACCATTAAAAGGTAAAAAATATAATTATATCTGTCGCATTTGTTTTAATGAGTAATAATGATTGATTGGAAGGTTTTAAATTTGAAATTAATAAATATTTATATATTTATTAATTTCAATTAGTTTTCCATCGAGATTTCCATATGTAGCATAAAGTAGTAACATCATCTTGGGATATTTCTATTGCGCTATTAAGGAGATGCTGGAGTGACCAAAATATCATTACAGTCGTATAAAAATCTTTGAATCGACTGAACAAAATAAAAAATCCTTTTATAGGATTAAAGTAAACGCAAAATTAGGAAATGGCGTAGTGGACCTTGTACTAAAATCGAAAAAAAAGTTAAAAAATTGTTTATCATTCTTTCGATTTTAGTATAAAATCCACTGCACCACCTTTTAATTTTGCGTCTACTTTAATCTGTAGAAGGATTTTTTTATTCCATTCAGTCAATTCGAAGATTTTTATACGACTGTAATGTGATAATTTGATCACTCCAGCACCTTTAAATAAGAATATTTTTTTAGAGAAAACATTTATACGAGAAACACACACACACAAGTTTGTAAAAAATAAAATTTTCAAAAATATTTATGACTCCAAAAGTGACGTTTGAACGATAAGGAGTTATTTAAAGATTTCAATTTTTACGTGTTTCAGTACGAAACCGTTCATTAATTCTGACTTAAAGTGTTCCTTCAAGTATTTTTCATGTAGGATTAAACATCCCGATAATCGGTAATCGAGACATCGCGCGTTAACGGCGAGATGAGAATCGACGGTACCTCCTTCCTCCTCACTGGACGAGTCGGTCTGTGCGTTAGGGCTGGGGCCTCGCGATCGGCGGCCGTTACGCACATTTTCCGAATTTCTCTCTGCCAGGACCATCGCGACGTAAATTTTCTCGTCGGACGGGAATCGCAACGCGTCAGATCGCGCGGATTCGTCGGTGCTGCAGTAAGCAGGACGCGAGATGCGATGAAGTCCTTCGTGAATGCGTCTGAATCAGAACCCAACTGCTCACGTTCACGATTCTTCTCAAAACTGCATGACGGTATGAAGAATTCGACCAAGATTCTTCAGTTCTCGTTTCGCGCGATCGTAGCGAAAGTAAAATGGCCGGCTACCACGCGCGACCTCATTGGTCGGCGTTGCGCTTGGGAAAAAAATGGCTTGGCCAAATTTCTCGTAACGACTCGCGAAGAAAGTGAGCACCGAATGAAGCTGTCGTGTCTTCCGTTTCCGTTTCCTTCACGCAAAATTCTCTCACTTCCGTTTAAAAGTCTGAAATCAGTGCAGCAGCGACAAAACCGATTCGTATCCTCGAATAATGCCGTGAACCAGTGGACACGCGTATACGAGACTGATTCGCGACTCGCGAGTCGATTTTAGTCTTTAGCCTGGAAGACTAAAGGTACGTTTACATGGATTGATATTTTCCATGTTAATGGCTCTGATACATACATAAACGCGATGTGCGACGCGTATGCCTACTGCACATTGGACACTATTGCTGGATTCACAGTGCATTCGATTTTCGTCGTACGATGAAAATCGGATGCA